AAATTACTAGTATTTGGAATTTGGGATTTGGGATTTCAGCAAAAAATACTAATCATAATTTGGAATTTGGGATTTGGGATTTCAGCATTTGGAATTTCGGCATTTGGATTTTGAATTTGGGTGGCAGGTATACCAGTTATGTGTATATTCAATTAAAGAATAAATCTGGATGGTCAAAAAATTTCAGATTTTAAGTAAAATAATTTCGTCTTCTATGAAAAATTATTTCGACTTTTTTCCCCGAAATTGTAATTTCGGGGTCTCAAAATAATTTTGCATGCAAGTATAATGTGTTTTATCCAGGTAACTTTATATTTGCGGAGTTATTGCAGTTTAAAGAAATACATCTGTGAAAAAAAAATGCAAAATTTTCTCTTGATTTTTCACGGATGTTTTCTTTAAACTACAATAACTCCGCGAATATCGATATTATTGAGATGAAGAACATAACATTTTGTAGTCAAAAATAAGGTCTTTCTTTCTATCTTAGAAATACACTAGTATAAAATCATTCTACATTTCATAAATCATGAGTAAAACCGAAAAACGTAAAAGAATTCAAAAATTTTTGGAGATTTTTAACAGTTTTTTACGTTTTTTCAACTTCACTCGTGATTTTCTACTAAGATATTTCTAATATAAAAAGAAAGGCCTAGTTCTCAGCTATGGAATGGTATGTATTTCATCTAGTAGTATTGATATTTGCAGAGTTATTGTAGTTTAAAGAAAACCATCCGTGAAAATCATATATAAATCTTCTGAAAATTTTCACAAGATTTTTTCACGGATGTCTTTCTTTAAACCGTAGTAACTCCACGAATATTGTTTCTACTGGAATGAAACACATACTATTTTGTAGCTGAGAACAAGGTCTTTCATTATATCTTAGAAATACATTAGTAAAAAATCGCTCTGCGTTTCATAAATTGTGAGTAAAGTTGAAAAAGCATAAAAAATCAAAAAATCTTCAAAAATTTTTGCTTATTAAAATCACTAAAAATAATTAGGGACACCATATTTGTGGAGATCGCATGGTTTAAGAAAAACATTTGTAATTTGCGTACGATTTTTTCACAAATGTTTTTCTTTAAACAGTGTGATCTCCATGAATATCAATGCTATAAGAATGAAATACATACTATTTTGTAGCTAAGAACAAGGTGTTCTTTCTATCTTAGAAAATATTAATAGAAATTTTTCTGTACCTCGAAAATTGTGAGCGAAGTCTAAAAAATGAAAACACATAAAAAATTTTTGGCAAGTGATAAAAATTAATACAAATTTTCACTTAATAAAATTTACTAATGTGGTTATAATAAAAATTGTTTATTAAAATTTTATTTACTATATATAGAAATAAATTTTAACCACAACCTATTACATTTGTTGTTCCATATATTGCCATAAAAGAAACTTATTCTAAAAAATATCCCAACATAATATCAGAATTATGTAAATTATTTCATGAAGGTTGGACTTATATTATAGATAAATATATTGGACGTGGACCAACAGGAAATAATAATTTTCTTTCTTGTCAAATTCTTAATTCATATCCTTATTATGAAATATGTTATGAATCTCAATGGGAACCTTATTATATTTTATCCAAAAGTGCACCATTATATGATGAATGTTTTTGTAATCAAGGAGGTAAATAACAACATACTTTATTAATTAATGCTTTAGGTTATAGGTTTTAAATATTAAGAGATCATTTCATATATCACATGGATCAATTTTGTCAGGTAGAGGTTTAAAACAAGGACAATTATCTAAAGATCAATTTAATTATTTTAAACATTATATTCCTGAGATACAATTTCAATAACCTAGAGGTTGTTCAAGACCATTAATCAAAGATCAATGAGAGATTTATTAGGAATTTGTGTAGGTTAATAAAGTTTAAAAAGTTAATAAAGGTAATAAATATTTATAAACATATAAAATGAATCATAACATAAAGTTAATAAAGTTAATAAAGTTAATATACAATAAATATAATAAATATTTTATTATTATAAATAATCACAAATATCACATCCCCAAAGTTTATGATGATTAAACATTACATTATAACAATATAAATAATATAAATAATATAAATAATATAAATAATATAAATAACATAGTAATTAACGTTTATATTGCGCAATTTCTATTTTATCTAAATAAAGTCTTAGTACTTCAGATATTCCAGGTCTAGATGAATTAGTGTCATCTTCTCCTTTTGATAATCGTCCTTCTTCTTCAATTTTCGTTATTTCTTTTACAGGGTAATAATTAAATAGAACATAAAGAAAACCCCAAGGTCTAAATTTTCCAGCACCAATCAGAGGAAAATAAATGCTTGAAAATAATACACCAATTAATGTAAAACTATTTATTAAGACCGTCCACCAAGTAGTATTTATGACATCAGTTGTCACGGCTATATTAAAAGATACTTAAAAAATTATCGAGAATAAGAATGAAAATAAGAAATATAAGAAATATAAGAAAGAAATTAACATAATCACTTCATAATTAATAACTTACTTGGGCGAATGATGATACTGCTAGTAGCATTACCTGTGGAAGGTGTTGGGTCTCTAAATTCATTTACTATATTATAAACAACATCGTTTGTAATATTGCCATATATATCTTTATATTGAGTTCTCGAGAAGAAGACTACCCTATTAACATCGGGATCCAATCTTAAAAATCGATTATATTTGAAATTTGTTGATAATTCAAGTGGATCAAATATATTTATTAATATTGGTGCAGTAGAATTAGAATTGTTAGGTCTATTTCTTGTATAAGTTAAGTTCATATCAGGCACATTGTTCACCGGTGGAGGATTTAGAATTATTGCATCTTTATTAGGTGAAGAAAGAATCTATATTATATATTATATATTATATAAAAATAAATAAATCAAATTTAATAAGAAATAATTTATTTTTAAAAAGCGAGTTAAATAACTTTTATTTTCTGATAAATACCCAACACTTATCCACAACACCTGTTAAATTAACTAAGATTTCATTATCAGAAGGATAAGTATCTAAATATTCTTTATTTTCTCCTTGATTAACAACATTCCCGTAAATTGATATACTAAAACTGTAACCAATTTCTTCCGTAAGGCATAATGTTATTGCTGGAGGAACCAAAGAAGTATTGGTAATTACTCCAAGCGATTGAGTTACCACATTTAAATTATCAATATTGCGTTTTAAATTAAAACCAAAGAGTGCTATTATTCCAAGAATTATTAATAGTTGAATTGCTCTTATTAAAATCAAAACTTTTGCCATTGTGATTTAATAAATAATATATAAATAAATAACGGATAAATAATATATAATTATATAATGAATAAATAAATTAAATATTAAAGAATTTTTAAAATTTTTAGAATTTTTGTCGTTTCAATTATTTCGAAAGGAACAAATTAAACTCTACCCTTAAAAAGTTATTTATATAACCCGGATTTCTAAAAAAAGAATAAAAGCTTCAGCCCTTTATTAATTGCAAATCTTGTGTTATTAATTGGACAAATCGAGATTATTTTTTTTTTTTAATTATTTCACACGTGTAACATTTTACCCGTTTTACACGTTTTATACGTAATACATAATGATAAGATTCCTTCTAATCGTAATGACCTCACAAAATGGTGTCGATGAACATGAATCTTTACATTCAATGGATTCAGAGATTACTACTCCACTATTAAATGAGAATGAAACATTCCTCATCGATTTTTCAAGTTATGGAAGATTCGCTACTTTTCGAAGATCAAAGACCGCGGTAATATGTGTAACAGCCGTGGCACTTTTCACGTAAAAAAAAAAGAATAAAAATTTATTAAGGTGGCTTTCTATAAATCTATTATTATATTATTATTTTAATTCTCATCATATGTTTCTACAAATGGTTAATGTTTCAAAAGGGATATGGTCGTTTATGGAATAGTCGTACCAATTTTGCCTTTAATAGTTCGGGAACGTCTTGAAATGGACTCTAAAGCAACCGGTTTTCTTTTTGGCTGTTATGGTATTATTCTTATATTATATATTATTCTTATAACATTTATTCATTTATTTATTATTAATCTTATATTATATTATATTATATTATGTTTAAATAGCCATTGGATTGTTATTTACAACACCTATCTTTGCAATTCTCAGTGATCATTATCGTACTCGCAAAGTTTGTATTTTCATTATTATTATTATTATTATTATTATTTTCATTATTATTATTATTATTATTATTTTCTTAAAATTAAATTAATTAAATTAATTAATTTAATTTTAAAATCAATTGATTCTGATATTTTAGATTCCAATGCTGATTGGTATGGGTGGTTTAGGAGTTTGCACCTTATTATTCGGGGTAGCAAATGCTTATTGGCAATTAGTGTTAGCTAGAATTGCCCAAGGAGCATCTGGTGGAGCATCATGGTTTGTAAATACTTGTATAAATATATTATATTTATTTATCATTTCGAAATTTGATATTTTATATTAATATTATTATGATTGATTAATGATTGATTGATTGATTAATTATACTTAGGACGATAAGTTTAGCAATGTTGGCGGATCGATTCGGTTCTGGTCCTAAACTTGGGATTGTGATGGGCACAGTAATGTCTTTCAATACTTTGGGATTTATCGCTGGACCTATAATTGGTGGATTTCTTTATCAATACTGGGGTTATACTTCTCCATTTATTTTTTGTACCATTCTTTCTTTTATTGGATTTTTAGCTGTGTGCACCGTTGTAGAACCAAATCAATTGAAAGAATGGGATCGTGAAATGAGCATTAGAAATGGTGAATCACTCGAAATTGAACCAGAAATTGATGATAATAATGACAGTAAACATTCAATCTTAAATCTCATAAAGGATTATGATATTATTACAATTTGTTTGACTGTCACAATTGCTGCTAGTGTATTTGCTGGTAATTATAATTATCCATTTTTTATTATATAATTTTTTTTATTTTATTTTATAAATGCTAATCCTTTATCTCTTTAATTTTTAATATTTATTTTTATTTTATTATTATATAGGAATAGAGCCCACACTCCCAATACACTTACGCGACCGCTTCTATGCGGACGCATCCCAAATTGGACTTATATATATTTCTGTAGTATTGCCTACAGTTATATCTCCCATAGTTGGTTATCTATCTTATATTATTGGTCAACGTACTATGGTTGGAATAGGAATGATTTGGTTGGCAGTGGCTTCACCATTGATAGCGCTTCCAAATAAATTACTGGTACAAGTGATGCCATTAATATTCTTTGGTGCTGCATACTCTATAGTCATGACTCCAACATTACCATTACTAGCACAAAGAGGTGGTAATTCTTATGGTCAAGTTTATGCCCTATGGAATATGGCCTATAGTATTGGAATGTTTGTAGGTCCTGTGGTGGCAGGTGTAACTTTGGAGTATTATGGATTCTTTGGTACTATGTGTACTTTCAGTTTGATGTCTTTGTGTATCGCTCCATTGTCTTTCTTATCTTTTGACAATATAAGGAAAATCTGTGGTGGTGGTAGAAATGATGGATATAATAGAATTCCTTTAGACGAATGAATGTTATAAAATGAATGTTCCTATGATTTTTATAATTTTAATTTATTTTTGTTAATTTCCAATAGTTGTATTGGATTAATAAAAAAAAAAAATTTTTTTTTGTATGTATTTATTTTACTTTAGATTTTTCCTTCAAAGTAAATTTTTTTTTAATTAGTTTAGATATATGATTTGATACTTCTATTCAATTCAATAAAAGAATTATTTTTATTATATATGTTGAAATTTGAAGGAATAGAATTTAGATCCAATCTTGAGTGATAAATTTTCTGTCCCATTTCTTTAGAATAAAAATTATAAATAAATTAATTATAATTAATTATAAATTGAGATGATTAGAGAATAATCAATAATAAATTAATTAAGATACAGAGAGATATTTTATTTATACCTTCATCAAGTTGAAATTTAAAATAAAAAATATTAATTATTAATTTAAAAATTAAAAATAAATAAAATAATCACTAATAATTACTTTATGGCATAATAATACAAACTCTCTTCTACCCCTAGAATTGTAATCAATGTAATCAATGTAATCAATGATTTTAAATTATTTTTTTTAAATTTATCATCTTCACAAGTAAAATGTAGTTAAAGACATGTGGTCATTAAGAATGTTAATCCGAAGAATCTTATTCGTGATATGTGATTCAATTATTTCACGTACTACTAGATTGCTATCTAAATAATTATACTAGATTATGGAATTCGAATCTCTTTGAGCACAGTTTGAGAACTTTGTTCATGCAACTGTGCTGCATAATGGGTTATCCAACCTTGTATAATAATCAACTTTGGTATTTCTGAGCTTTCAATTTCTTTCTCTTGTACTTTTAACGTTAGTAAATTCCATACGTCATGAGCTGTTATTCGGTTACTTTTAAGTCAGCACTTGTAATATTCCAAGTTTTTGCCACAGATTATCAAAATCTTTATACATTTTCACAATAAATTTTTCTTGTATAAACAAAGTTCTTTTTCTCAACTCCAATTGAAAAGTTAAAAGTACATTTAAAACATGTACCAGTATAATGGAATTGTTCATCAGAAATCCAATCCCAACTATAAATAACCATAATTACCATTTAAATAACGAAACGGACAAAAGGTAACTCCAGTTAAAGTAATTTCTATTTTATGTATAAAAAGTTGTAGTTATGGAAGCTGAAGGGTTATCAAAGATATCACTTTTTCTACCTTTCGCTTTACAAATATATTCCGATTGTTGAAAAGAACTTTGAATAACAGTAACTATAAATGCTATGTTTTGAATGTTTTCATATTTATACGAATCAGTTATATTATCTTGTTTGCTTTCCCACGTAAATCCACATTTAAAGTACCAAGATACTCTTTTCTTTTTCATTATTTAACACAAACTAGGAAGCGCGAAAAGAGTAGTAATTATCCAGATGGATGGACAATAAATAATTTATTATTTTATGGAATCAAAGATCTTAGATTATCGGATTATCAAAGATCTTAGATTGTTAAATAAACGTATCACGAATTTAAATTTTTTTTAATTTATTTAAGATGCAGTGAATGCTTGAAGTCCAGTAATAGCTTTTCCTAATATAAGTGTATGAATATCATGTGTACCTACAAAATAAAACAAAATAAAACAAAATAAAACAAATAAAACAAAATAAAACAAATAAAACAAAATAAAACAAAATAATATAAATTCAATTCAATTCAATTAAATTAAAGTTTGTATTTACCTTCGTAAGTAGATGTTGTAACTAAATTTTGTTCATGCCTTATTATATGAAATTCATCACTTATACCATTACCACCCAGAATCTCTCTCATCGAACGTGCAATTTCTAATGCTTTAAAACAAGAATTACGTTTAATGAGTGATATCATTTCTGGGACTGCTTTTCCTTCATCTTTTAGTCTTCCTACTCGAAGGCAAGCTTGAAGACCAAGAGCAATCTGTAAAAAGAAGTAATGAACATAATATATTTTTAGTTTAATAAAGTAATGATGATGATGATAATAATAATAATAATAATAATAATCTCATGTCAACCTCGGTATTAGCATCAGCAAATTTTTTTTGAACCAATTGAAATCTTGCCAACGGTGAACCGAATTGTTCACGATCAAGTGAATAATTACGTGCTTCACTGAAACAAAATTCTGATGATCCAAGTACTCCCCAGGCAATTCCATAACGTGCATTATTGAGACAACTAAAAGGTCCCTGTATAAAGTATAAATTTTAATGATCCATGTTTATGAAAATTGATGAAAAATATATTTTTTTTTTAAAAAAAAAAAAACCTTTAAACCTTCCACGTGTGGAAGTAAATTTTCTTCGGGAACTTCAACGTTATCCATTACAATCATTCCGGTGATGGATGCTCTTAATGATAATTTACCTTTAATAGTTGGTGTCGATAACCCTTTCATGCCCTTTATTAATAATATTACAATTAAACAATTATTTAAACGATTTATATGTGATAATTAAAATAATTTTAAATTTTACCTTTTCCAAAATAAATCCTCGAATTTTATTATCTTCTTTAGACTTTGCCCAAACAATAAAAATATCAGCAATCGGAGAATTTGTAATCCAGGTTTTTGACCCATTTAAAACATATACTCCATTTTTCTTTTGTGAGAAAGTTCGCATGCCAGCCGGATCGGAACCATGATTAGGTTCAGTTAATCCAAAAGAGCCAACAATCTTACCTTCGGCTATTATAATTAATAAACAAGTAACATAAAAATATGTATCACAACTTGACAATAATTTATCATCCTAATTATTTTCTATGAAAAACCTAATTTCTGTAAATATTTTTCCTTTTGTGCGTCGGTACCGAATGAATATATAGGATGCATGACTAATGATGATTGAACACTCATAGCAGATCGATATCCACTATCTACTCTGAAAAAGAGATAAACAAATTCGATAAAAAATAAACTAAAAAAAAAAAAAAAATCCCAAAAAATTAAGAATTTTATAAGAACCTTTCAACTTCACGAGCGATTAAACCATATGCCACTGAAGAGATACCAGGACAACCGTATCCTTTGATAGTAGCTCCTAACAAACCCAATTCTCCCATTTCACTAATAATTTCTCGATCAAATCCTAATATATATATATGTGTGTGTGTGTGTGTGAAAAATATATGAAAATCAAAGTAAAGATACATTTAAATTCATTCGAAACGATATTCTGGTATACTAACATACGTTCTTGACGATAGGCTTCCAAAATTCGTGGAAAAAGTTTTTCTTGACAATATTTTCGAGCTGTATCTCTATTATATTAGATGTTATAAGTTTGAATTTTATTAGATAATTATCCAAATTAAAATAAATTTTCCAGTAAACTTTATACCTAATAGCAACTTCCTCTTCGGATAACTCGGACTCTATAAAAAGAGGGTCTTCCCAATTATAATTTATTTTCTCTTTGTGTCAAGTAAAACACAAAAATAAAGTTAATTGTCATTGATTCTTGAATTTTGAAAAATATTTGATAATAAATAGAATTGTTTTTTTATACTTGAATCCTTATATGTGTTAATATTTCTTCGGGAAATTATTGGCATTGTTGGTTTCTTTAAAGAATTTTGAAAATTTTTCCATTTTATCAACGATGAAATTCGAAACATTATAAAACATACGAATAAAATTTATAAAATTTTCGATTGGAATTTTTTTTAAATCACATGTATCAAATTTGCACAGTTGATCTTAGTTTTATTTTAAAGCTAAATAATATAAATATGATATTATAACCAAATACAATAACCAAATACAAGAAAAATTACAATTAGGATTATTATTTAGATTATTTAACGATATATAATATATATAATGACATATAACAGAAATCAACCAGGAATGCTTAGCGAAAATCCAAAAGATTATGAGGTATTAATTAAACCATAATATTCATAATATTTAAATTTTTGATTTTATTTAACATTGATCTATTTTTTTAAAGGTTCCCCAACCACCAACGGATGGAATTTCAGGTTTATCTTTCTGTCCAACTAACGATTATTTAGCGGTTAGCTCATGGGATAATAATGTAAACATATAATTATATAACTTTTTTTGTTTTTCGATAAATTTTTTTTTGACGAACAAATGATTTTTAATAATAGGTTAGGATCTATGAAACAAATCAACAAGTTGGATCTGCGGTTGGTAAATCTATTTATGCTCATGAAAAACCCGCCTTATGCGTAACGTGGAGTAAAGTAAGTAAAATCACTCACTTACTTTCATCATTCTTTTTTTATTAATAAGATAAATTAAACAAGAAACTTTATAAATTTTAGGATGGTCTCAAAGTTTTTTCAGGAGGAGCAGATAATGCTGGTCGTTGCTTTGATATAACCACATCACAAACTATACAAATAGCAGCGCATGATCAGCCTATTAAATGTATTAAATATGTTGATCAAGTAAATCTTGTAGCAACAGGAAGTTGGGATAAAACGATTAAGGTTAATATAGAAATAATTTTTATTATATTAGAGAAAATATCTAATCGAAGGTTTACTGATTTTTAGTAACGTTCAAAAAAAAAAAATAAAATAAAATAAAATAAAAATAGTACTGGGATACACGAAGTCAAACGCCCGCCTTAACAGTAAATCTTCCAGAAAGATGTTATGCAATGGATGTCAATTATCCATTATTGGTTGTTGGAACCGCTGAAAGACAAGTTCAAATTTATAATCTAAATAATCCAAGTACTTCTTATAAGGTACGTATGAAAGATATATATATATTTATATTTACAAATTAAAGTAAATTCAAATTAACGCGTTTTTTTTTTATAATTTAATAAATAAAGACTACCCAAAGTCCTCTCAAATGGCAAACACGTTGCATCGCATGTTTCACCAGTGGTAATGGTTATGCGATAGGAAGTATTGAAGGGAGAGTAGGAATTCAATACATAGAAGAAAAAGAAAATCAGTAAATGTCAAATTTAATTATTTGTTTTGTAATTAATTATTATTATTATTATTATTTTAATCAGATTTCTAATTGTAATTTTTTATAATTTCCTTTTTTTTTTTATTATTATTTTATAATAGAACAAGTTTTTCATTTAAATGTCATCGTGAAGGAAATAATGTTTTTTCTGTCAATACAATTTCTTTTCATCCTATTTATGGTACCTTCTCAACTGCTGGTAGTGATGGTACCTTTAACTTTTGGGATAAAGATTCTAAACAACGACTTAAAGGTTTTAATTCTGTTGGTGCGCCAATTTCAGCTACTGCATTTAATCGTAATGGGACAATCTTTGCATACGCTGCTAGTTATGATTGGAGTAAAGTAAGTATTCCCAATAAATTATTTATAAAATAAGAATAAAAGGAATTCTTATTGACTTACAATTCTCAAACAATTGTTAGGGTTATTTGCAATATGCAACTTCTACCAAAAATGCAATTTATTTGCATTCCGTAAAAGAAGATGATGTAAAACCTAAACCTGCAAAAAAACGTTAAAAGATATTCTAAATTGGTTCTCTCAAATCACAAAATTATCTATCCAGATTTATAAATATACTCCCAAAAGAAGATCGAGCAATAATAAAGGTTGGATTTTTCATTGAATTATTATCTGTTAAAATTATTCATTCTGAGGAACACCTTACAAGCCACCTTTTATCTTTACTGTCACATATTTTCGGGTGGTAACCTTTTTTTAGATAGGTGATTATTCTAGATATAAATGAGCATTTGAATTATTTGAATAGACTTTTTTTTTTTATCAGATTATCAATGAGTATTAGCCTAATAAGTTTTCACTTAACCAATAGCTAGTTTTTCGTTATTAAGATCATCATACCAATGATTCGCGCGTATATAATTTTAATAAATAAATAAATATGAAATAATTTATAATAAATAAATAAATATGAAATAATTTATAATAAATAAATAAATATGAAATAATTTATAATAAATATGAATTCAGTAAAAATGACGTTATTCGTAATGTTAAAAATCAATAATCTATAATAAATTGTTTATAATAGTTTATAAAAATTTTCTGATATGAGCGTTTTTTTAAAAATGAATTTATAGGTAATAATGAATAATATTATATGTATAATGATATAATGTCTTCACTTTGAATATATTAAATGTTATATAGATATTAATCCTGATATTCATTTATTTTATTATTTATAATTTTCAGCCAAATCAATCTATTAAACAATAGTATGTACAGCTTATCACGTAAACAAAATGAAAGATATAATTGAATGGTTTTCACTTAATCATAAAGGTGAAGCCAAATTAGAAATAGTATTGAAATTTTAATTTGGAATTATCAATATTTGATCCTATACATTCTAATACTTGAAAAATTCGAATAATATTAACAATTTTTATTATTATTGTTATTATTATTATTATTATTATTATTAAATATTTACACTATAAATAATTACACAATATGATTAAATTATTTAATTTCATATTTCTCATATCGAGAATTCATTCTTCTTTCATTATAACGAATTGATTCTGGTTCAGATGGTATTAATCTATTTCTATATGATGATGATTGTGAATAAGGTGATAAAGGAGGTGAATAATAAGGTGAATAATAAGGAATTGGATCTAAAAGTGAATAATTAGGTGGTGATGATCGAGAATATGATGAAGGTGAAGGTGATGAAGATGAAGGTGATGGTGGTAATGGTAATTGTGGAAAGGAAGATGGTGATGGTGGTGGTGGTAATTGTGAAGGTGATTTGGGTGATGACGTTTTGATTAATATCGAAGGTCTGGCTTTGGTTATTTTAATAAATTCATGGCAAATTTCATCCGAATATCTTTGTGATAACAACATTTCTTTATTCTCTTCCGGATTTTCTTTTTTGAATAAATTTGAAAATAAAAATATAATAAATTATATTAATAATAAATTAATCGATAATATTAATAATAAATTTAATAAATTGATCAATTACCAAATTCAATTTTCAAAATAGGTTTTACTCCGTACTCTTTTGAAATATTAACTTCAATGGGAACATTAGGATTATGATAAGCTATTCGAGGTAAATTTTCTCGTAAAAAATATCTATTGAAATAAGGTGTATATATGTTCATGTATGCTTCATAGGTATATTCAGATATGTTATATATATTTATTTATGTATATTCTACAATTCTACACTATTGTAAACTATTATAAACGATCATAAACGTATTATACTTTATATTTAAATAAATAGAAGTAATATATAGACCTTGCACCTGCATTATCTTGTTTTCTCGTAAACGTTAACGAAACTTTTTTAACTTCGGGACTTAACTTTACTGCTCCTAAACCGGTCCGAAGATCTAATAATAACCTAGCAATCTTAGAAAGGGGTAATAATTTGGCCATTTTTTATGTTGATTTTATGATAACTTTATTATTAGGGACAACTTAGAAAATATCAAATATAGAACGCAACGGACATCTAGATGGTATCACGAAGACGTGAAGTTTAATTTATTAATATTATATATAAGATATATAGATATTATAGATAGATATATATGATATATAAAATTACAAAAATAAATAATATACTTGACTAGTTATCGTAATAAAATTAAAATTACAAAAAATATTATAAAATAAATAGATTAATAATATTAATTATATTATACTAGAATAATTATACTAATTATACTAGACTAATTATACTTAATTATACTAGACTAATTAGACTAATTATACTAGACTAATAATACTAATTACTGCCAGTTGAGTTTCCGTCACGATACCAACTGTAACCACTATTAGAAGTTCTTTGTCGTTTTTCTAATTCGGTTTCATGTTCGGCCGTGTCACGTGCTTTAAGACCGTTTGAATTTTCAATGCCTTTAACATTAACATCTTCAATTGGAATTGCTTGAATCATGATAAAAAACCCAATAAGAGCACCCAATATTAAAATTGCGTTGAACTTCATATTTTTTTTTTTGATGAATGAATATACGAATATTATGTATGGGGAATTATAAATTAATGTACGTGTTGAATTGATAAAGAATGTAAAGAATGTAAAGAATTTATGAAAATATTCAAAGGAAATTCAACGCGTAAGAGATAAGTATGTAATATCGAGAGAGATGATCTGAAGGTGAGAATGGGGAAAAGCTTACTCTTTTATAATGATTTGATATTATTGAAGATTTTTTTGAATACTAAAGATGTATGCGAGAGAAATTGAATCAAACCAATTACTTTTTTTTTCGAACATCATTTTTCTTTTCGAATAATTTAAAATTGTATCGAGAACGAACAGATGCCTTTTTTTTAATATTGTCAACCGAATTTGGTTAATCGTTAAATTCGTTGAATTCATTGAATCCAGTGGGATTGAATCTTTTTTGAGACCCATTCTTAGATAACTAGGGAATTTTCGATAAAAAAAAAATTGGACGAGTTGTAATAAATAAAATAAATCTTATACCTGAAAAACGCATTTAAACAATAGATTCCTTTAAATATTAAAAAAGGAAAGAATTGATTTTAAACTTGACTATAGAACGTATTAAGAAATGCACATGTACATAATCTAGTTATAAAAATTGATACATTTAGAAAATCCAAATTAATTGCATCCAAATTAAGACATTTAGAAAATATAATAAGAACGCACATAATTAACTGTTAATGCAGTTAATGAGTATTACCACCATGTTTTCTTATTTCATTATTATCCGAAAATGTTATTCAAAGAAAAGTCAGGCGATGTCTGTTTCACTAATTCAAAATATTTTGATATCACATGTTTTTTAATTATGAACAATCTTTGTTTATACTTTGCATTTATTGAGTTATAGTTCTTTGAATACATATTATAAACTTTGTTCAGGGATTTGGATTGGGTAACAATCCAACATTTGATATCCGATCTGGATTGCTTGTGATATGAACATCGAATAAAATTAATTTTATTAATTATTTATAACATATAATTTTGCATCGTGTTAAGTATTAATCACAAAGAAAGATTTCACAGATCTGAAATTTATGGTCAGGGGGTCCAGTGAAGTCATGATAGAACTTTTGAATACATCCTTACTAAATGAGAGAAGTTTTTTTTTAGTATATATATCTATCTATCCATTTATCCAGAATTAATATATAAAAAAAAATTTTTAGAATTGTGTCAATTTGATTTTCTTTCATTGTAACACACTGCTGAAAAGTTACTCTACAGAATTCACAAAAAGAACAGGTTTTTGAGAAGTAGTTATTACAGTTTATTTTGTGGTTTGGAATAATTTTCAAATCACATTCTCTTCTATAGATTATTTTTTTGCCTAAATTAAATATTAATTATTAATTTCAAAGTGAATACATTTTTATTACTCTTAATCTGAATTTGTTTTCTTCTTTGATGAGCTTCTTCATTCATTTTATTCTTTCTTTCATTTTGGAAGAAGATCTTTTCTAAGGAATGTTATAAAAAACAATATAATCCAATTAACAAATCCTTCTTATAACTGTAAACAAATTTGCACTTTGGATTTATCACCTTTAATTATTAATTCACATGGTATCTCTAATAGAATTGTATTGTGAAATTTGTTTCCAAAGCTTTTAATGCTAATTTTAAAGATAATAGTTACAATACTAATTGAATCAAAAATTTAGTCTTATATAATTTAGCCAATTAAGTACAGAAATTTTCTCTAACATGATCAGGTGTAATGATTAAATTCCAGTACAAATGGTATAATTCTAAATTTATTAAATAAATAATTTTATCTTTAACTTCAAATTATTTTACATAATAAGGAGAGATTTCTATTAATATATTCTTATGATAGATTGAAAGCCCTGGTTCTTTACAAAATTATATATACTTCATCCTTATAATATTAATATTTATTAAAGAAAATTATAATTGGCTAAAAGGACATCATATGATCTAAATTTAGACCAATTTATATGTAGGAATTTTCATAAATAGGTTTTCATTTGACTAGTGACTCTGTAAATATCATTCAGAAAAGTTTTGGCTTGCTGACACTAGACTAATAAGACTAATGGTCTTATTAATAATCATATATGAAGATTCCTGTTGATCTTTTTTTTTTTTTTTGATAGAGTTTATCCGATTACCTTTCTTTGTCATTATTTATTATCTGGATCTTTTTTAACAATATCATATTCAAAAAGTCCATAATTTATATTTTTCATTTTTGAAATAATATGTTGAATTTCTTCATCGAAATGTCATAACTGCAGGTTCAACTTGTCACGCATGGAAAATATATATATGACTTCCGTTATTCGTCCGAAGAACAAGTTCAAGCTTTGACACGATGCATTATAATAACATCGGTCTGTTATAGGAACGTACTATTTTATTTTTTAATGTATTAGACTTGTTTATTATAGCTATTTTAAAAGAAATATGTAACAAATGTATACAGTGGATTTTCGGTAACATTATATACTATGTGCCTTATATAGATTAGTGATGTTTGCATATTGTATGAACAAAAGGTTGCTAAAATAAATACAAAGAAAATTGACAACCCGTGTATAAAAATATATATATTGTTATATGAATTAGTTTTGTAAATATTCAATAATATAATAATATAGGTAATGTATAAGTAATTGCATTATGATAATATATCAAATAAATAAAGTAAAATAGTCCAAAGAAACCATTTTTAATTGGTAAAGAAAAAAAATAATATTTCTCAAATTTATAATAGTAGCAGTTTTTGAAATGAACGTACTAATAAATAATCGATAAAATCTGGTTGGGGAGTTTTTTTTTTTTTAGGTTGGAATTGTATAAGTCATTTTTTACGTTATTTTTTTTCGTCATTTTTTTTTCTCGGTTCTACCGTCTTCGCAAGGGCCTTTTTTTTCATTTTTTCGTGTAGTTAAGTTTTCCCACCACCTGAACCACCGATTTCCGCTACAAGCTGCACGACTCAATGGTGTTTTTTTGACATCTAAGAGGACGAAAAGAAGCATACTTTATTTAAATATTGATCGCTTGTTCTTCTTTCCAGCATCAGGCCATCATTTTTTTTTGGTTTGGGTATTGCCTTTACCTTCAGAAGTGGAGGCATTCCCATTTTTCTTTTCTTTCTTGTTATCTATTGAATTATTAAAATATGGAATTTCTTTTTCTGTATGAGTTGGAAATTCATCAGAACTGGCAGTATCCATACTATCCATACTGTCTATACTATTCTCTCTATGAAGTCGTGATGGAAGATCATCAATGGTTAAAGAATTTTGATTCTCAAGATCTGCATCAGTATAATCATCATTTGAAGGATCAGTATTAATTCCAAAATCTTCTATATCATCATCCTTCACATCGAGATATTCATCATTTTTTTGTGGTTTAATATCATCCAAAGGATATTTAGGACCAACATTTTCATATCTTGATTGCATCCAAGAATACCATTGATCTACAGTTTTTCCATTAAGAAATGCGACAATAACTACTGTCATATTATCACATCCTATGCCTCCAACTTCACTATCTTTAGCTAAGCAACGTTCCATTAATTCTTCGCAAGCACTTCGGATGGATAAAGTCTTCGAAATGTTGTCACGAATGAAACTAATTACTTGTTGAGATGAAAGACAATCCCATATTCCTATATAAATTAATAAATAAATAAATCAAGAAATAAATTATTAATCTAAATTTGATAATCTTTATATTTGTTTGTATATATATATTATTATTATTATTATTAATTATTTAATTTATTTTAAAATTTATTAAAAATTTACCGTCACAAGCCAATACTAAAAATTCAGTTTTTTCGTCGATCCATTCTTTTTTAACATCAGGAAATGCTATAAAAAATATTAAATAAGAAATTATTATTCGTCTTAATTTAAAAATGAATAAGATACGATATTAAGAATATTGAAGAAAAGTACCTGTCACGATTTGATCTTGTGCACTGAAATTGTTATTCTGTTTAAATTCAAAATCACCTATCGCACGAGATAATGCCAAGTTACCTGCATGCATTGTAAAATAATAATAAATATATTAAATATTACATCTATTAATAATCAATTTAACAGAAATTCAACAGCAATTCAACAAATTTAACAGCAATTTAACAACAATTTTAACTGGTAGCAAATCTAAAAAAAATTTGAAGTTTTACCATTAACTCTCCCAAATTCAACGAAACCACCAGCTTTGGTGATACGAGAAGATTCCTCTAAATAAATAAAATCAAGAAATTATGAGTTAATTATTAAAAAAATTTTATAAATCTTCATGTATATCATTTATAAATAAATAAATAAAATAAATAAAAAGAATATGATTTTATTATTAACCTTTATTAACAGGTTTATGATCATTTGACATAGGAACAGCTGTTCCATCAACACTAAGAACCGCACGAGAATCCCCAGCATTACCCTAATATAAATAATATAAATAAAAATAAATAAATAAATAAATTAATTAATTAATAAATAAATAAATATATATAATATAAATAAATATATATATATATAATTATGTATTAATAATTATTGAAAATTTTATTGAAATTAAGGATAGTTTTTATTTTAATTTATTTTATGCTTACAACATAAATTTCGTTACTTGGAGTTATAACAGCTGTAACTGCGGTACATCCGGAAGGATCATTTTGAAATTGAGGATCTAGAATGTTCAATAATGTTCAATAGAAGAATTAAAATAATTTCAATATTTACAACATCTATAATATTTACAAATATAAATAATCTCAAAAAATATGTACAAACCTTGTCTTAATTTATCATCAATCCTTAGAAAACCATTTTTTATAGCTAATTCAAGATTTTTACCAAAGTCGGGGTCTTCAACGATACAACCGTGAAGATGGTCACCACTATATTTAGCAACATTTTGGCCTATAAATGGCAAAGAGAGAAAAAAAATAAAGAAATATTTAAAATTATTTTGATTCATCAAAGAATAATCAAATCAATTAAATTAAATTAATTCAATAATTAATTTTATTATCATTAATTAAAATTATTTAAATTTACCGCCATGCCCGTCATAAACACCAAAAAAGCTAAATCCTTTTTTATCTAAAACTTGTAATAAAGTAGTGTGCGCATCTTCCATACTAATACGCCAACCTTGCATAGCTGAGGAAGCATATAAAAGACGTTCATCATGACCAACAGCTGAGTGTTTTTCTCTTACTGGTTCAGATAATGTTTGTCCCATTTTTCACTATGTAAAGAAAATATCTAATTTAAGAAAAATGAGAAAAAATGGAAACAAGGGAAAAAAAAGGGAAAGAGGGAAAAAAACACGATAAAATTTAAGTTATTAATAGTTGTTAATTATTTAGATGTCTCTCAAATAACGTAGTATAACAATCATTGCATATTAATGTGGTAACAACTTTTTTATCATAAATTCAATGAAAATAGGACAAAATTTATGCATCAAATCTTTTGATATTTCTATAGAAGATTATTAATAACTTCGCATTTCATACATTTCATTCATACCTTTAAAAATAAATGATAAATTTCTTTTTTTTTTTTTCAGAAATATTTTTTTTTTAATACAAGAATTATTGTAATACAGGTATTAAAAACGTGACTTGAGCGTCATGAATATATACCAAATGGGAATTACTATAATTTATTAATACTTTTTTTATACTAGCTTGATACTAGCTTGGTTATATTTAGTTAATCTTGGTTAAATAATATTTATTAACTTATATATATATTTGTGTTCTTTTTTTGTGATGTATATTTTTATCTTGATTAAGTTTGGTATTTAATTTTTTCAAAAAAAAGAAAAAAAAAAAGAGTAAAAAAAAAATTTAATCAAAAAATAACCACCCTTAAATAAAATTTTCGGATGTCACGCAGTTTCAAATATAATAAAAAAAATTAAGTGATTGTTTTTTATTTGTACAAAAATGAAGGCTGAATTTTATTGTAATAAATAAAAGTCATTAGGAATTGTTGACTCGTGTCCCCGGAGTATTCAAAAATGTCATCATAGCTTTGTATATTATTACCAGGCATTCAAAAGATAAAAAAGAATATTCTTCGTAATGTTGATATATACATATATAATTTATACAGGGATTTGTAATCTTTCTGTATGTATTTAACAAAGGTCCTTTAAGTTTTTATACCATTCCATTAAAACTATCTCCTTGTTTGTTTGTTTGTTAACTTTATAATTTAAATTTATTTAAACTATTTTCTTTCTTTCTCTTCTCTTTACTGTTTATCTTTTTTTTTTTTTTTTTTTTCTACTATTATCTAAGTATTTATAAGGAATTCTATCATCGAAGGTTGAAAATTTCTGTCTGACGAACCTAGATTACGGTGTAACAATTTTATACCGGGTTAATGGATAAGAAGAAAAAAGAACTTCCAGAATTTCACTCTACAACGAAGGTCCTTGTTACCTAAATCCATAGTGTAATATTTAAATTGAATGATTGTATGACTAGATTTTTCTTATAGAAATGTATGGAAAAAAACCCTTGTTTAATTATAGATACGTAATGATATCGCTTAATACGTAATAATCTTGTATAATTGTATAATGAAGACCATTTTTTAATGAAATAAATTATCCTTTCTAATTATGTAACTATGACAACTAGTTTTATATAACTAATCTTTACATAACTAGTTTTACATAAATAATACAAAAATGAAATAATTTAACTATACTTCATTTTAATTACCATTGTTATTATTGCCAAATAAAGTTTACTATGAAAATAATTTCAATCGGACTTTCATATGTCTACATTATCTGTTCCGATATTAATAAATAATAATGATTTTTAAATCTTAAATCTTTTATTATATCTTTAGTATTATTATGTCAAGGTATTTTTGTAATGTAAATAAATAATAGTTTATCATTGCACTAACATAACATAAAAGAATTAATAACAATTGTAATTATTGTAATTACAGTTTAATGATAACAGAAATTTGTAATACATCAATAATAATCAATACTAATTACTAATAAGTGAAATTACTATTTCCTGCATGATGATGTCTTATGACAAGATTATGGAGGAATATCCATTGACATCTCTATATTTGTATATTTCAGATTCCTCCAATATTCTGAATATTTCCACACCAACTACATATCTTTGATGTCTAGCTTCATTTGAAATTATCATATGGATTTCCTTTTTTCTTCTGCTTTTGAAATTAATATTAATGTTAATATTTAAGATTTTTGATTGATATTTCAAAAATGAATTTCATACTCAACCAATCACAAACATTTAGAACTTCAATGTGATTGGATAAAAATGTCATTTCGATAAAAACGGATCACGTTAACTTTATTGAGGTCTTGTCCCACAATACCTTGAAAAGACTTCTAAAGAAAACAATAAAAGGTCACAGAAATCATAAATGCGATTTTCAAAGAAATAACAAAATGGAAACAAGAGAAAGATGTGAGAATTTTATTAAGTGGAAAAAGAAAATTAAATAACATAAGAACAAAAAAGGAAAAAATGGAAAAAGAATAAATGGTCAATGAGTAATAGACTTGAGGGATATAGAGAGACAAAAACATGGTTAAAAAGAAAATGTGATGATCTATCACACTCATGTATTTGTAAGATTGTTTGGATACAAATTTTCACAAATTTTTTATAATATTGCAGGAAACCCCCCACTAGAATTAGTGCACCTAACCCTGAGCAGCTGGTTAAAGCGGTAAAGCAATTTGACCATAGTTTTAGTTAATTTTATTTTTACACTGTAAAATTTTTGTATTAAGTATACCTTGTATGTTATAAATCTTTTCTAAAAAAGGAATAAAAAAAATAAACCGATAAAATAAGATCCTAAGCTTCAACCATTTAAAAGAAAAATTATTGCTAAAAATAACAGCATATGAAATGGTTAAAAAATATGATAATAATGAAGAATGGAGAAGTGATGATAATAGAAAATTGAATTACTGGTAAACTTGCCAAAAAAATATAATCACATCGTGCTATTCAATAGATAAATTAAATACATCCATAAAATAACGAAATAATAATTAAAATAATTTCTGTTATTTTATTTAAAAATTTTATCTATCAAAAAGTCACATGTCATTAACTATGAAATTTCGGAAATTATGATTTATAAATGAAACACATTTTTTATTATATGAATAAAGATGAGACCACGTTTGTCTGTCAAAAAACTTTTGACTTTTAATATGAAATATGAAAGCTTTTAATAACGAGAATATAAGTTATATAAGTTGAAGAGTTAAAGTGTAAGCTTAAAGACCAAAGTGAAGTGAAAAGTCAATGTGAATTGAAGTGAAAATATAAAAATTACAGAATTTTTTTAAAATAAAACAATTCATAATTAAATATACCAGTTACTAAATTGAAGCGATGTGATAAATTTTTCTTTATTATTAAAATTATGAAAATTATTGGTTACTTTCAATTATGAGAAAAAGTAGATTAATAATATTTTATACTTCTTTATTGTTTAAATTTATATTTATATTATAACTACAAAAATTACCCCTAATATAAGAACTCATGATAGTTTAATAATAAAATTTAGATACCTTGTTAAAATTCTTTCTCCTAGAACAGATTATAGCTTTCATCATCATATTATTAATGAACCATTTCTTTATTAATTAATTAAATATATGTATTTATAATTTGATATTTTTTATCATGAATTTCATTTTATTTGATTAATTTTTTAAGTACAGAATAGTAAATACTTATACATTCGTTGAGTTCGTATTATTATTTTTTTAATGTACTAAAATAATAACAAAAGATCTCATTAAATACAATAATAAATCAAATTTACGCTCAAGGAAAATAATGAAAAATCTAATAAAAAATATAAATAAATATAAAAAAAAAAAAAAAGATATATGATATATAAAACATTAAATATTTCTCTTCAAATGATATAATGTGAATATAATACGAATATAATTGATTAAATTTACTACCCAAATAAATTAAGTTGCAATAGGTGTAATTTTCTTTATTTTCACAAAGGAATTGTATTTTCCAAAGTATTCCTTTCATTTTCTTTTATATCATATCATCTAATTACTTTATCTACTAATTCTTAATCCTTTTCATCTTTTATTCCCTTCTAAATTCTTGATAATTGACCATAATAAGTTTTTATTATCAAAAATATCAAATATTTTTAAATAAATAAATATATATATATATATTTTTAATTTTGTAAACTAATATTAATTATTATACATATGAAAGTTTTTTTTTTGTAAAAAAAAAAAATATAAATAAAATGTTATATATCTTTTATCTTGCCTAAATATATATTAAATAAAATATAAATAATAAAATAATAAAAAATAAAATAAAATAAATTAAAATAAAAAAAAAATAATATAAAATAATATAAAATAATATAAAATAAATAAATATCAAGATTATCCCATTCCACAAATAGCCAAATCCCTCATTTTTTGTAAAACTTCTTCCACTTTACTATCTACTGGAGAATCATTAGGAGGGAAATAATTTTGTAATGAACTTAATTTATCATGATTCTCTCGACAAAATTTAAGTTGAATTTTTACTAAAGCTTCAAATGTGGGATCTATATAAGGAACTCTAAGATCAATGAATCTAGGCAATTCATTTACTAATTGATTATTCAATGATTCATAAAGTTCTCGTGCAGTATTTGCTGCTTCTTCGGCCTGAAAAAATATCATGACAAAAAAAAAAAAAAAAAAAAATTAATTTATTATTATTGTTGTTATTATTAAAAAAATTTTAAATTTTCTTACTCTTGCTAATTTTGTTTGATCTTCAGACGAAGACTTATAAACCAACTTTTGAACTTTTGCCCGATGCGCATCAGAATCTAATAATTTTTTTTCTCGTTTTTTAATATTATCATTTACGTGAGGAAAATAAGAACAAAGACGAGCAATAGGTTCAGACACGGTTTCACTAAATGGATCATCCTATATAATAATATATAAATATATAAATATATATATATATTCCAATCAAGATTAATTAGTAAATAAATAAATTAGTTAATTTTAATAAGTTAACAATTCATAAAAAAAACAATTTTTTAATAAATAATAACATCCAAAAACTAACCAAGCAAGATTTACAATCTCGTTCTAAAATATCAAAAGCTTCTTTATACTTCTTTCCAATCATTGCATTTTCAGATGATTCCTCATAAAAGTGTTCAATGGTGTCCGAAATACGTACTTGTGCACTATTCATAGCTTTTTATTATTATAATAAAGATATTTAATTAATTAAAAATATATAAATAAATAATATATAAATATATAAATAAATAAATAATAAAATGGATGATTATATTATTTAGTAATGACTGACCACGCAAGGATTCCAGATATCCTTTAGTTTCTTTATGTAATTTTTCTGTTTTGGACTCAAAACTAATTTAATAAATAAAAAAATTATCCTTCAAATTATTAAATATTTTAATTCTGTTAATTTATTTAAACTAACCTTTTAAAACGACGTTGTTCTTCTTCAAATTCTTTATCAATCTTTTATATATGTGAGTTACATTAGATTAAAATACTTAGATAGATAGATAGATAGATATATATATATATAATATTTTTAACATAAAACCAAAACTCACCGTTTTTTCGATTGTACCAATTTTTTGTGAAAACTAAAAAAAAAAAATGAAAGTTATTAATAATAAGAAATTTACCATTATTATATTATTATTACCTTAGTTCCAGTACGTCCTAAATTTTTTTTTATTCCTGACCTATATAATTCAAAAAAAGAAAAAAGGATTGTAGTAAAGAACTTCATATTATTCTAACTATTCATCAAAAATTTAAATACTTACCAACTCATTGCGTATATTTCGTATATATATTTTTTTACCAAAGATTATAAAGATTATTTAAAATATTAAATAATAATAACGATAATAATGTCAAATTTAATTTAATTTTCCGATGGTTCTTGTGTAACTATACAGTATAAAAGTATAAAAGTTTTTCCAAAACTAGTAACTTCTTGGATTCGAAAAATATAAAAATAATAATAATAATAATATGGGAAACGAAGACGAGTTTTATGTTCGTTATTAGTACGTAATTTTTTTTATACATTTTTCCTAAGTTTTATTCTATATATATATATATATGCAAAAACGATTGGGGAAATAAAAGGGAAATAAGGAAATAACGTGGAAATAAACGATCTTATTTTATTTTATTTCTAGTACAGGACATATGGGTCGTTATGGGCATGAATTTCTAGAATTTGAGTTTCGTGCAGATGGAAGGTGTCGTTATGCTAATAACTCAAATTATCGTAATGATAGTTTGATCCGAAAAGAAAGTAATAATTATTAAATTAAATTATCAATGGTTTTAATAAAATATTTATTAAAACTATCAATATTTTTTCATTTAGTGTATGTTAGTCCTTTAATGATGAAAGAATTGAGACGAGTAATTCAAGAGAGTGAAATAATGAAGTACGTTCATATTATTATTAAATCATCATTATTAAATTACTTATTATTTAAATTATTTATTATTAAATTATTTAAATTATTTATTATTAAATTATTTATTATTATTAAATTATTTATTATTATTAAATTAAAAGAGAAGACGATCAACGATGGCCAAAAAAGAATGTAGTAGGACGTCAAGAACTTGAAATTCGATCGGGCAATGAACATATATCATTTGAAGTATTGTTATTTATATTTGAATTATTATTTATATTGTTATAAATATTTAAAATACAATATACACTCAAATATATCACATCCAATATTTAATCTCTTGTACAGACAGCAAAGATCGGTTCACTTGTAGATGTTCAAGAAAGTGATGATCCTGAAGGTTTACGAGTTTTCTATTATTTGGTTCAAGATTTAAAGTGTTTGGTGTTTTCATTAATTGGTTTGCATTTCAAGGTAAAAAAAATTTTTTTTTTTTAATTTTAGGCATAATAATTATATAATATATCCATATACATATATATTTAATATTATAATTTTAATATTTATTGTTATTTTATTAGATCAAACCTATTTAGAAATTATGAGGAATTGTGAAGAATTAGAATATAAGAGAGGAAGGAATATATGAAAGGAATATAGGATAGGAAAGGAATATAGGATAGGAATATAGAAGAAAATAAAATAAACAAGTCTAATTATCACATTTTACATCTTTAATTTTTGCAACAATAAAGAATACATTAATATATTTTCTTAACAATAATATATAATTCGAAATTTATCCAAAAAAGAAATCTTGATATTCATTATATTGATTAAATTGATTACATTGATATATTTGTAACACTTATCTTTTACCTTATTTCATCCATTATTTTCTTGTTTCTTCTAGTAACCGGGGAGTTGTTCCCTCCCATAAAAAATAATTATAATAATTATGATAATAAAAATAATTGATAATAAAGATAATTATAATAATTATGATAATAATTCTAATAATTATAATAATAACAATAATAATTAAAGGTAAAATGTATTTTATTAGATCGTAAATATATATCACATATGTATCACCTCCTCAAACGCGTTTTTTGCCTTTTTTTTTTTAAAAAAAAAAAAAATATGTACCTTACGTGATATGTGTGTGTGTGTTTTGTGTATTTTGTGTTATCTCATGTACATAAATATTTATCTTATAAATTTAAGTTCGCGTTTATTATTGAGTTTACAGTACACCCATATAAAATGTATAAGATAAGATAAATATATATAAATCAAGTAGATTCTTTCGAGCGTGTTTATTTCTCTTCTCTTTAAATATTATATACATAATATCCATAATTTTAAACACTTTCTGTCTACACAACGTATATATACACTTTCTTATAGACTTTCTTATACATTTAAATAGAAAAGGATAAAAGATCTGAACGTGTAAATAATAAAAACTTTAAATTTTCTTATTATAAGACTCGTGAATAAAGGTTTCATTCATGTTTTTTTTTTATTCATTTCATTTTCATTTTTAACTCATTCAGATAATAATAAAGACAATAACTCTAGAAACAATATTTAAAACATATTAAAAACACGACTCAACATAGATTACATTTTTCAAGATGGTGTTGTTACGACTAAATCATAACAAACATAATAATAATAATCATTATTATAATAATAATAATAATAATAATAAAGATAGAAATAATGAAGCTAATAAAGAAAATATTGACCCTAGAAATCAAGGAGTTAATAATAACAATAATAGTTTTGAAGGTCCAAGTAATAATTATTATTCAACTAATAATAATAATAATAATTATAATGATCTCACATCAAAAATATTATCAATGTTATCACCGGTAACTAATAATACTGTAACAACCACCACCACAACACATTTCGAAGGACGTGAACCATTAACTGAAATTTATGTAAATGAATCTTTAGGAATAAATTATTATTCGGTAAAGTGAAATTATTTTTTAAATCCGTTTTTTTTGATATGATATGATTTTTTTTTTAATCCGATCTGATTTATATACATATATACATAATAGGAAGTACATTCGTCTCACCATCATCATTCATCTCATCATTATACTACGGCTCGTGCATCTCATACTGCATCGAATAATCATACTACGACTCGTACATCTTCATCTCATCATCATTCATCTCATCATCACACTTCTCATTCATCTCATCATTCATCTCATTCATCTCATAATCATCATAATCATCACACCACCACCACTAATTCTTCTCGTCGTTCATCATCATTTAAAATTCGTAGTTCTCGAGTATCTCCTTGTAATTCTCGTAATAACAATAATAATGCAACAGAGAAAAAACGTGATGAGAAAAAAAATGATAAGGGTGATAAAAGTGAAAAGCATGGTAGTAAAAGAAACAAGAGCAACAACAATAATAAGAATAATAGTAATAGTAAATCGAAGAAACAGGAGAAATCAAAATTTGAAAGTTTATTGATGTTGAGATAAATAACGATAGATAAAAATTTTCATTAGTGAAATAGGTGGTGGTGTTTGTTGGTTATATTCGGTGAGAATGCATTCTTATCATTATATGAGTTTCGAATTATTGTATTATAAAAAAAAAAAAAAAAAAGTTGCATTCTAGTAAAAATAAAGAAATTAATGAAGTTATATTAAAGAAAGATTACCTGTTTCGTTACTATTTTGATGATCTTAGTCATGTAAATACCATCTAAGAAATCGCATCGCTTTGTGTGAAATTTTTACAAAAAGTTACAGTAATGATAAAAATGTGTGTTTTTTTTTTTTTTTTTACAAAATGGATTATAAAATTTTTTTATTTTACTGAATTAGAATAAGAATCAGTGGAATCCAGTATTTGCTAAAATAATATTATTTCATATATTCAAGTATATGTACTATTTTTTTTTATTTAAAATCAAAAGCAGTGACATTATCTAGAAGATTATTTTATATATTTTCAAGATACTAAGAATTTCCATTTCTTTATCAGTGATATGATTTCTTTTTTTTTTTTTTTAATTTGTATTTATTATTATATCTAATTGTGTGTTTGTTTATTTATTTCAATGAAGACACAGAAGAATTTATTAAATCAAAATCATCAACATACATTCCCATTTTATAAGCTTTAAACGAAATTCAATAATAAACTTACTTTACCTTGTGTTTCTCAGACATAATGCCAATTCGAATTGGGTTAAAATAACGTATATATAAGAGAACGCTAGTAGAAAATGTTAGTAAAGATTACTGTGAAAGCGGGTATATACATATCGAAAAAATGTCAAGTGAGGGAATAAAGAATCGTCTACTACCGAGAGCATAATGAAGTCAAAGTATTCCAAAGATTCCGGACGATAACCATATACCGAAACGAAACTTCACTCATGCAAACTCCGCAAGAAAAGCTATATTTGAGTTGAAAACACTTGTTCCATCAAATGTGTCTTGAAATCGTATTGTTCGGGGGGGGGGGGACAAAATATCCTACATGTCCCATATGTAAATCGGAACTTAAAATTTTTAGAGAAGAATTTTCCCTAGCTTCTGACGAATACCATATGGTGCCTAAAAATCATTATAAGGACTTCCCAACAATCTAACGTAACCATAGATGACGGTGAATTTATTCAAGAGCTAGGATTGATTAAAAAAGATTCTGTTTCAGCTGGGAAAAATAAAGAAAATTACTATTACAGGCGAAATTATTAATGATAACCAAAATGAAAAAAGGCACGACTAACTTGGTGCAGGTTAATCAAACTGATGAAATTGATACTTCTCGTACTTCTCCAAGAATCACTGTGAACTATCTACGCCTGTTAAGGGGGAAGCAACCAAAATGATAATGAAGAAGAAATATCCGATGGGTCACTATCAAAGAATCTGATCGGTTAAATCAAAAGGCAATCCGAGCTAAGATCAAGAATATCAAGAAGGGATTCGTTGTTGGTATCATTACGTTGAGCAGTTTTAAAAAAAAAAATAAAAATAAAAAGCATTAGAGATAATGATAGCAGAATTCTAGATTAACAAGCTAGGTCTCAATTATACAATGAAATCTCGGAGAATCTCTAGTTATTCGTGGAAGTTATTTTTCAATTTTTGCAAATAATAAAATTTTCAAATGCCCACATCAGGTTTTATCATTTTTATCAATTTCACTAATCACGTTTACTTTGCAAATAAAAATAATAATTACTGAATAATTTGATAATAAATAAATTATAAATTTCAGATTTTTTAAGAAAAAATCACTTTATCAGAAAAAAATACTTTTAAAATAAAAAAAAAGTACTAATTGTAATATAAAGATCCTGATTCAAAATAAATACATCAAATATACATTTTGTAATTTAAATAAATCTATATTGAAGTTAGCAGATACATCTGCAGGAACACCATTAAAAAGTAAGTCGATGAGAATAGCTACATGATATTCTTGGATATTAGCACCATCGCAAGGAGTTGCCCAAATCCGACTCCAGAGTTTGTATTGACCGGAATATTTACAGCATTTTGAAGATAATTTTGTGTGGAAACGTGCAGAGGTGCTGTTCTAAATGATTTTATTATGGTCGGATTTGAGTTATTGCGTAAATATAGCAGTGCAAGCAACGCAACAGTATTATCCTGACGAGGAAGAAATAACTTGATGGCTAGATATAATTAAATCGTAGTACGTAAAGAAAAAATATTCCGTAACCTTTTTTTATGTAAACTACTGAGATTTTCCGTATTGCCAATTTCTACAACTAAAGCTGAGTTTACCGCATTTATGTACTCCCCCAGATTTAATCTTAGTTACACAGCTAAGGATGGAAAGATCCATCATCAAAAATCTGCCTGGCAGTACGTTGTTGTTTCCAAAGTCCGAGACTTACGGAATGTTGATTGTTTTCACTCAATGTACACCATTCGAGATTAGATGCCCTGTTGTTTGTAGAATCTTCATCAATATGATTCACATATTCTTTGCCTTCTTTTTAATGCCACTAGGCGAATGAACACGATAGTTGTAAATCAAGTAATATCCTGCGTATAATGTAAAAGGAATTAAAAATATACTATCAAAAAATAAACATTTTTATTTATTTTTTACAATAGTAGTATTGAAACATATAGGTCAGCTTATCCAAAAACAAAAAAAAAAAAATATTATTTTGATCGAAACAAATAATTCACATAATTATCATAAAATATTAATATTCTCTATTTATTTATTATTCTCTTTGCAATGGCTATGATGATCATAATATCATCACATTTTTTAAAATATTTCGCGCGTGTTTATATATATAGTATGGTGACGATCAGTTAATACATACTGTGTATTGTTTTTTTAAAAACGTAATTAGCGATTATCACAATTATTTAATGTACAGTAGTTACACAAATATAATGCTACTGATATAGTGTAAAAAAAATAATCAATCAATTTAATTCAATTTAATTCAAAGCATGTCATTTCCCACACTTTATCATACAATTAAAAGCAATCGTCTTCTTTACAAATTTGTTAAACCTTTTGCTGATTATTATGCAAACATTAGCGGTTATAGACAACTTGGTGTGTATAGAGAAAAGGAATAATTTATTTATAATTTATGAATTATTTTCTTGGGAATATAATCAATAAACGTAATGAAATTAAATCAAATACCGAAGAAATATATTAATTAATGAATAAAATTCATTTATATTATTTACTGAATCTATTTATATATATATAAAAAAAAAGGGTTAAGATATGATGATATTATAATTGAAGAAAATTCAATTGTTGAACAGGCATTAAAGAGATTACCACCAGTAGAACATGATCTTAGAAATATTCGAATTAGACAAGCATTTCAATTATCTTTAATGCATTCTATTTTACCCCAAGAGCAATGGACCAAACCTGAAGAAGTAAAAATTGATTATTATAATTATTATAATTATTAACTTATTATTTAACTTATTATTAACTTCTAATTATTGTAATTATTATAATTAGGATATTAGACATCTTTCACCTTATATTAACAAAGTAGCAGAAGAAGAAGCTGAACGTGAAGCTTTTGAGGGAGTAAAAATTATTCATAAATTACAATAATAATAATGACAATAATAACAATCGTAATGAATATTGATAATAATAATAATGAAAATAATGAATGGTAATGATATAAGATAATAATGAATGATGATAATATTGGATTGTTATTTTGGAGTAAAATAATAAAATTTGTTCTTTGAGAAATTATACAACAATTATTATTATTTAATTATTTATTATTATTACTTTTATTATTTCATTATTGTTATTATTTCATTATTATTATTATTACTATTATTATTTCATTATTATTATTTACTGTTATCATTATTATTATAGTCAAACAATTATTATTATAATTATTATAGTTAATAAAGATAAAATATATTAAATTATTCTTTAAATTATTCTGTTGTACATTTATTACATATTTATTATTAATAATATAATTAATTATTTAAATTATAATAATATTAATACAATAATAATAATAATAATAATAATAATAATAATAATAATAATACAATAATATTTATTTATTTAATATAATATTTTAACGTAAAATAAATTTTACTTCAGGTTCAGTACTTAATAATTCATCTAATTCACGAACACTACAACCTTCCATTGAACAAATTTCATCATAATGATGTTTTCCATTGAGAAATCCTCGTAATTTTGCTATTGTTGGATTTTGTGGATTATAATTTTCAGGAAGAATTGGATATTTATGAACTCGATAAATAAATCCTTTGATTACTCCAAATGATATAAATCTCCTTTTTTAAATATAATATTAATATATAATGTTAATAATAATGACATCAATAAATATTATTATTATTATTAGAATATTTGATATATATAAAAATAATTCTTAGAATTCTAAAATATAAAGAAAATATAATAATTATTAAAATATTAAAATACAATAATAAATTACTTACCGAATATCAATATTCAAAGCAGAAATTTCTTTATTATCATTAATCCATTGTTTGAGTGTTAATCCAAGTTTTAATAAACAATAAAGTGAAAATAATTTGGCAAATGGTGGAGGAATTGTTCCTATATCAATAATATTACATCAATAATAATACATCAATTAATAATATTAAATTAATTAATAATATTATAACTATAAAAATCAAAAATATTATCAAATTATTTAATTTACCTTTCTTTCGTACGTAAGATAAACATTCCCTCTGAATCGTTTCATCCTCAATTACTTTAGTAATCTCGGGTTTAACTGCGTAGATATTTGAAAACTATAGAATTTGAAGAATTGGAATTAAGAATAATAATAATAATAATAATAATAATAATAATAATAATAATAATAATAATAATAATAATAATAATTACCTGAAAAATATCAATCATTATAATACAGCCATAATATCTAATAATTAATTATAATAAATAAATAAATCAATGATCAAATATATTAAATATATTCAAATGTAAATATTTAAAATAGAAATATACTCACAAAAGATGTTTCATACATTTTCTAGCTAAAATATAATCAACATCTGCTAATTCCGCTATTTTCTTTACATGATGAATTCCATTTATTCGTGTTGCAATCTAAATAAATCAAAAATATAATGAATAAATATAATGAATATAATGAATAAATATAATGAATATAATGAATATAATAAATATAATGAATATAATGAATATAATGAATATAATTATGATAATAATTATCACCACAATTATAATCATAATCATAATCATAATCATAAATTAACCTTCTTCATTGTAATATCCCAATTATCATCCATCAAAAGTTTAAGATTAACTGTACATATTGGAACTTGATAATCATATACTGGTGATGGATTTCGATACGTCGGAAATAATTTGAGATTTATTGATGTATTACATGGTGCTATATTTATTATAATTAATACATAATTAATGATATTATAATAACTTGATAAATAATAATAATAATAATAATAATAATAATAATATATCATTATTACTCACTAATTGGTATTTGACATTCACAATAACTATTAAGATCTTCAAGAAGTTGTTCAATTATATTATACATGAAATCTTTAGTTTCTTTATCATATAAGAATCCACTTTCAATCTATCAATTAAATAAGAAAATAATTAATATACAAAATAAAAAATAATAATAATTAACATTTAAATTATTTTTTACCTCCAAAGTTTGTAAAACTCTAGCCACTTTTCTAACTACCGGTTCATAACTTGATGTATCAGCTCCTCGATCAAACACAAAACTTAAATTAAACATAAACTTGCTTCTCATGCTATTCTCATATTTCATATCTTCAATAAGTACCGGAAATCCCATCACTTTATATGAATCCGTACAAATTACTACTAAATGTCCACATAATTGAGTTTTGGGTATCACGTATTCCGATATTGAATCAAAATCTATTATAGGTGTCGTGCCTTCCCTAGGAATTATTGAACCTTCTGGTACTTCAAATACTACTTTAGGTCCCCTTGTGGCATCAAATACTGAATAAAATATTGAAACTAGTCGAGGTGGAATACCCGCCTGAAATTCATTTTCTTGTTGAGCATAATCCTGCATTTTATTATTTTATTATAATATTAAAAACGTTATGGATTGATGTTAATTAATGTTATAAATTGTTCATTTAATTGTGTTTATAATTAAAGTTATTATAATGTTTGAAATGCTGAATTCTGGTAACTAACAAAGATTAGATAGACGTGATTGTATACTTTTTGGAAACACGTGCTCATTTTCTTGTTTTTCTTAAGGCACTTAAATAAATCCTACATTATTTAGAGTTGTGAATTTTATAGCTTTTTTTTCTTTGAACTGTAATAGATAAATCAATCAAACAAAATTATTTTTTTTTGTTCATTTTTTTATTAGATACGTAAGTATGAGTTTTATTTATTTAATTAAAGATAAATACTTGAAATACAAAAAAGAAAAACTGTCGACCCGTTGACCTTGTCAATTGTCTGGAACAACCTAAGAAAAAGAATCGTTCTTTAGTTTTTTTTTGCCTTTACAAGTGTAATAAAAAATAATGATAAATATGTTATACTAAAAGGATCTAATTCTTACAATTCAATTTATTAATAAAAAGTTTAACTAATACTTTTAAAGAACTTAACTGTATTAATACTTGATAATGTATTATGGATCATGTTTCTTGAAGATTGGTTCATTGACTTGGATCGCGTTGGTAATTTTGAATTCAAATATCTCAGTTGTTCGTTGCCTTCAAATAGAGTATTTGGATTATTTGTGCTATGAAATTTCTTTTGAGTCTCTCTTAACTACTTGTATTTATACATATTTTTTTTGAGTTGTAAATGTAATCATTTTTGTTGTACAAAATGGAATTTATTCAGTAATATTTTTTTTTAGATTTTAAAGAAGATAAAGAATTAAAGAATTCGGAGAAATGAATGAAAAAAAGAAAAACGGAAGAAATGGGAGAAACGGAAGAATTGGAAGAATTGGAAAAATCGGAAGATTCGGAAGAGTAGGCATAATATAATAATAAGTGTTGTAACCTAAAATCAAAAGTAGCTACTTTTATTAGGGGTAGCTACTTTTTATCAGAATTTTTAAATTTATTAATTGTAAAAAATTAAAATTTCTATCAGTAAAGGGTCCATGGGCATAGTGCCAAGTCGCTACATTAATCTTCAAAGTTATGAGATGCACTTCGCAATATAATTAATTTGTTCTTTTGACAATCTCCATTTGTTGTGCAATTTAAAAAGAATACTATATAAATTACAAATCGGAAATAATTCATCATCGTTTCTACATACAAAACGTTTTATTTTAATAAATAAATGTTAAAAATGTTATTAAGTAACTCGAAAGCCAAGAATTAAGTGTATCTTTTATAAAAATATTAGACCTATTTGTTCTAAATTAAGAGAATGATACGCATCTAAATATTCCCGTTTTAAAATTAAATGATTAACATATAAGTGCTCATTGTTCTCTCAGTTCAGTTCATTTAGTGAAGGTTGGAATTATATAAAAAAGGTGCACTTAGTTTGTGTTTTTAAGTTTACTTAGTAAAATTTTTAGTACTTACTTATAAAAAAAGTTTTATATGTAGAAACTATCACATACTCTTAAGCTGTAATCCTAAATCTATATTTATAGTCTTGAACTTTTTTTTTTTAAAGTAATCTTGAGTTTAATTATGTAGTCTTGAGCTTTAATTCACATAGTCTTGAGCTTTAATTAACACTATTCCAATCTATACTACACAGTCTTAATCTTTAACCTGAATCTATATTTATAGTTTTGAGCTTTATTTATGTAGTCTTGAGTTTTAATTCACATAGTCTTGAGTTTTAATTAACACTATTCCAACCTATACTACACAGCCTTAAACTTTAATCCTGAATTTATAGTTTTGAGCTTTATTAGGCAATGTTGAATTCATTATATAGTCTTAAGTTTAATTTATATAGTCTTGAGCTTTAATTAATTTTAATTTTGAATTTATTTTATGTAGTCTTTAGTTTTATTATTATAGTCTTAAGTTTAATTTATATAGTTTTTAGCATTAATTAACTTAATCTTAAATCTATTTTATGTAGTCTTTAGTTTTAAGTGTGAGAGATTCATGTACCTACAGTAATGGTCACAAGTATCTGACCCCCCTAATTTCCTTCACGAATAAGTATATTTAATAAAATTTTTTTATTAAAAAGTACATGATTAACAATGATAATTAATATATTGTATAGTTTTCATTCAAATCTATAAGTGCTAATACATAATGTCTCATATTATTTACCAATTTTTTAGCAAGATCAGGTGAGAGTTAATATCATTTCTTTACTAATTCTTCCTTTAAACTTTTAGCTGTTCAAATTTTTTTTTTTGCTATATTTATCTTCATTAACCTTTAAACATTCTCTATAGAATTTTGATCTGGTGACATTGATAGTCAGTGAAGTACCTTAATTTTCTTTTTCATCTTTTATTTTGCACAAATTTCAACTGGTGCTTGGGATCATTGTCTTCTTGAAGAAACCAGTTTAAGTTATCTTTACAAAAAACTCAGAGGCAAAAAGTAGAAGTTCCTTCTCATATACTTTGTACATAAAATTAACATTAAGGTTTCTTTGAAAATATATTAATTCACCAAATTCCAAAATCAAAAAACACCCCTATACATGAATTTTTTGTGAATACTTGATAGTACAAAATATTTTTTTCCTCCTAACAAATTGTCAAATCTTTTTTTTTGTAGAAATAGTTGAAAGGTATTTTTGTTTGTAAAAATAACTTGATTCCAGTTAAAGTCTTAATGTTCCTTTGTTCACTGTAGTCATTTTTTCCAGTAGTTCTTTGTAAGTAAAGGTTTTGAAATTTCATTAATGTATTTGTTTCCAGCTTCATGAAAGCATCACCTTACAGTTCTTACACTAACCTCAGCACCATGTTTATTCATTTTTTTTTTTATTTAATTGCTTGTTATATTGTGTTCTATCTTTGTCATCTTCATTATTTATTTATCTTACTTCTTGATTGTGCATTGCAGATAACCCGACCTTCTTTCATCACTTAAATCTTTATTTTTACAGTATTTTTTAATTCAATAAATAACTGTGATTTGGTTCTGCTAAATGTTGTCACCAGTAGTTCCTGGTTTTCTTGAGAACAAACTGTAACATTATTTAACAGTTTTTTTAAGGAGTTTATAATCCTTTTCTAAAGGTAAAACTGTTGTTCAGTTGTTTTAAAAGACATCACTAATTTAATTATTTTAGAAAGAAAATTGAACCTTTTATTCAATTTATTTCAATATCTTTCAAATTTATTATTATTTTTAGTGTTAATATCAATTCATTAATTATTTTCCAGTTTTATTATCATTGAGTATTACTTCCATTTATTTAGGTTAAGTATTATTTCAAGTCCAGGATTTATAATAATAGTTTGTAATTGATTTCATTAACTCAAGAATAATAATATTATACAATTATATAATCAAGTATTTAATTCTATAATATTTATTATTCCTTTATTAATTATTATATTTTTATATTTAATAATTTTTTTATAATTTTTATTTTATATTTTCAATATTTATTATTTTATTAATTCAATTGTAGGGTAATTTTTACAAGTGTTTATCTTGAAGTTACAAATTATAAAATTAAATTTATCAATTTCAAATAAGTTACAAATTATCAAAATTCAAAATTA